TGTGTGTGTGTGTGTGTGTGTGTGTGTGTGTGTGTGTGTGTGTGTGTTGAAGGCATGCTTTAACTGTTCATCACAGGGCAGGTTGACTTGCTTTCCTAACTTTCTAGACAGCTTTCATCAAATGGAGTCTGTGAGGCTTCAAGTTAAAAACCTCTGACTGAGCTATATAGAGACAAAATTCTTGGCCTCCAGGAATTTACAAAGCAGCAATCCACCAGGGAATGAGAACAAAGCAACAGGTGTGGCGATCTGGGTAAAAACTAAAAGTTCTTTCTTTAACTCTCTGTTAAGAAACCAGCAAAGAAGGGGCATGACAGTCAGAGAGAACAAGGGACTCAGGGAGGCAGCTCACTTCTCAGTGGGTACAGTGTTAAAGGCTGTCTGTCACTGTATGTCCATCCTTAGTGCCATTGGCTCTGTCCGGCTGTGGGCTGTGAGAGTTGTTTCTGTGAGACTGACTAAAATATCTACTACCTCTATACACACACACACACACACATGCACATGCACACACACACACTCATACACAAACAAGGCTATTCATGTAATGATGATATAGAGAATGAAGTACCACTAAAACAACAGGGTGAGCACAACACCAGAACAAACAGGGAGACTAGACCATTAGTGGAGAGTTCCCACATTTCCTGCCAGCAGATGATTTGGAGAAAGGCCTCACTCCAGAGGCTGTTTTATTTGTAGAAGCCAGGGTGGTAAATTATAGAGCATCTCAGGCCATTCTGGGCTCTGAGTCTCTCTCTGAGTCTGTATCACCACCCATAGGCCACTAAAACCTGCCCACACTCAGAATGATTGATTCTGTTCAAAAGTGAGGCATGGACCCATGCTGGAAAGCCCACTTCAAACAAGTCATTAGCTTCTTTATGGATTTGAGGGTGGGGAGGGGCTGTTATAAGGAATAGGACCTTGGAGTCCCATCTCCTGAAGAGTAGAAAAAAGGATGTTTGAAGAGGTAGGAAGAAATAGGAAAGAAGATCTGGGTATGAATCAGCAAAAGAGATCTGAAAGAAAAGGATTTGGAAGTTTCACGAACAGTGCTACACACTCAAAAAGGTCAGCCAGAAGGCCCTTTGGTTGAGTCCTTCATTGCTAGGCTGGACATGAAGGAAAATGGAGAAGACTCAACAAAGACCCTGTCCCTGCAGGGCATTAGATATCTCTGACATTAGATAAAAAATGTTAACCACCTGAGGGGGGGGGCGGAAATTCAAGGAAAAAGAGGAGTATCATCCATTTGTGCGGATGATATACCCCAGCTAAGCTATGATGCTGAGCCTTGTAGACAAGTGAGATAGCACATCAGATGATGGTAACTTTAGTCTGATCAGCAACCCATAGGTACCAACATGAGAAGAAGCTTGAGTTCTGTAGCTTGGCAAGTTTTGGCTCACCACCTGACCCCCATTTAGCTATTCTGATGTACTACGAAGCCGACAGCTCTGGCCTGGGATGACTGTCTCCCTCAGCCCCTCTCAGGCAGGCAATGAAAGCAAGATCCACTTTGAAAATTCTCCCCCATCATGCAAACTGACATGGGCATGCTTTTCAAAAACCCACAGCCAATCTGTTGATCATTACTTATTTACAAAGGCCTTCAGGCAGAAAGTCCTGTAAAAACCATACTTGATACGGTATACACTAGCTTTCTCTGCTTATGGAAAAAAGTCCCCCCAAGGCTACCTCCAACCATCACTTTCTATTGCACATAAAATGTAGCACGTAACACTAAAGTATTTAATATATATGGTATAATATATCTACAGAAAAGGCATTTGTGTAGAAGTATGTTACCCTGGATTTGGTAATTTGATGTTTTGCTGAAGGCTACGACTTTAAAAAGCCTCCACCTCTTACAGGAGACCTGTCATCTTGGTACCCAAGAGCCAACAGAATAAAGAAGTACCCTTAAGCAGCAAAACTTTGACACAGCTTTGAAGCATATGAAAACAGTGTAACTCCTCAGAATTATTATTACTCGAGATCAAAGCAGCGAGTCATACTTTACATAGCAAACAGGGACAGGGAATTTGGCTCCCAAGGTTTCACATTTTTCAGATTCCTCTTTATTTATTTATTTGTTTCTCTAAATTTAGGCAAAAGAAAGCACTTGGGCTTTTCTCTCCTTTAAATGGAGAAAACTATTAGCATTAGATAAGCCGATTACCTAAAGGTGAGTAAATAGGACTTGTATGCTAGGCTGACAACTGGTGTCATAAAACCCAGTGGCTTGGCAGTTGGTGCCTTTTATTCCTTCTCGTAAACTGTAAACACGCATGTAAATCAGTAGAGCCCCAGCAAGGCTGCAGATAAGAGGCATAGGGCTCTGAAGCCTTTTTCACAGCAGTGGAGAAGTGCACATGTGACAAAAGAGAGAGAAGGGGCCAAGAGGATCCATGTTCTCTGGACTGAAAGACAAGTCCCCATCTATGTCCCAGGCAAGTAGACAAAGAGGAGGCAAGAATGCAGACAAGTGGGAATT